AAGTACTTTTAGATGGTTCTTGTCGTTGCATTAAGAACAGCGTTTGCCATTTTGCCAAAGAGGAACAAACATTTAATTTCCACTTGATCTTTTTAATAGAGGCAAAAATATCCAAATACACACACAAACAAGAAAAAGAACCAAAACAACTAAGTAAAAGCATAACTCAAATAGTACTGGCTATTTAGTCAGTGAAAACCGAATGTTTCCTTATAAGGAAATGGCTAATATTACCATTAGAGATGAGGAGAACAGATACTACACATTGATTCCAGCCTGATAACCAGCGAGTGAAGAAAAGTTTGGTTAGTGAATGGCGAATGTTTCCTTATATGAGAACAGATACTACACTTTGATCCCAGCCCGATGGTAAAAGTATAAAAGAAAATGTAACTCAAGTAACACTGGCTGTTCGATCAGTGAGTGTCGAACGTTTTCTTATAAGGAAACGGCTAATATTACCATTAGAGATGAGGAGAACAGATACTACACTTTAATCCCAGTCTGATAGCTATGGAGGGAAGAAAAGCATATTACTGCCATATCTGTTCTGATGTTGCTGCTATGGAACTTAAGATTATTGAGAAAATTCAAAGGGTTGTTAGTACTGTAATCAGTCCTGACTTGGCATCTCGACTTTAGTCACTTTCCCACTGCCATGATGTGGTTTCTCTGTTTTTTCTAGAAATATTTTCATGGCTATTATTCTGATGAGCTTTCTTTTTTGGTAATGCGACCACATAAATTTAAGCACACTACTAGATTGATAACTAGAACCTCACACATACATATACATATATCTATTTTTTTTTAATCAGATTCACCCCAAACAAGGCAGTAAAGCCACTAAGACACAAAGGGTTACAAGGTGTAGAAGAATTAGAAAACAGAAACATTAATAAGGAGTGAGAACAATAGAAGAGTAATTAGGAAGACAGTAGGAAGCAACTGACATTGCATTTAAATTTTTGAAGATCAAAATTGGCTGGAAGAGATTTCCACAAGCGAGAAGTACGAAAAAGTAACCATTAGCATAGAAGTTACAATTACATCTATCCATTTCGACTGTAAATTGATGAGACCTTGTTGTTAATTTAGTACTGCACTTAAATTCATAAAGTCTATATACTACAGTGAAAAGCTCATCTGAACAATTACCATGAAACTATTTATAAAAAAGACACAGAGAAGCAACTTTATGGTGGTAGGAAAGTGGCTGAAGCCAAGATGCCAGCTCAGAACCAATAACATTGCTGATTTATCTTTGGATTTTATCAAGGAGTTCTAGATAAATAGCAGGAGCACCGGGCTATATTTAGCAGCAATATTCAAAACATGGATGAATGGTAGACTTATAGATATGTAAGATAGATTTTGCAGAGAAAAATTGTCTAGCACAACACAGTGAGCCAACTTTCTTAGCACCTGAACTAGCAATGGCTTCAATATAGTCTTCTTTTGGTTTATAAATATATATGAAAGATATATATATATATATATATATATATATATATATATATATGTATGTATGTATGTATATATGCATGTATATTTATGAATGGAATGAGAGAAGATAGAAAAGGGAGAGAAAGAGAGCACATACCTGATATAAGTAAAAGCTGTATAACATGATATAGAGTCATATATAGATATAGATATATAGTTCAATGGACTTGACTTGGAAAGGCAGATAACAATTATAGAAAAGGGAGAGAAAGACATGACCTGATATAGTTAAGAGTGTGAGAGAAAAGCTTTCTAGTTTAATGTAGAAAGAAAAAGAAAAAAAAAAGATAAAAAAGCAACCCTCTTGCATTCGATGGACACTGAAAGACAAATAAGAAAAAAACAGAGAAGTAATTATTGCAAAGTTGATATGCAAACAGAACATATCGTTTGGGATAGACAAACTGACAGACAGACTGATAGTTGTATGCCTTGTGATAGCAGCGTATCACCTTTAATTAATAGATAGACTGGAATTTGGTTCTTCTGCCTCTACACTTTGGCACACGTCTTGATTACAGACATTTTTTTTTGTTTAACTATCAGAATTTCAAGACGAATGGTTTCTTCTTGCCAGTGTTTGCATACATGTGAATGTTGTGCACATTGAGTGCAACTGTTTTCTGTTGGGTGCTTCATTGCACAACCTTCCCTCTATACCTTTCACATCTTCTCAGCACTCTCTTCCTCTCTCTTACCTCCTTCTTATTTCTTTCTTTTTTCTTTTCTTTCTTCTTCCCACCTTCAGGTTTTCCAAACTCTTCTTTTATTTACTGAACCTCTCACTTTCAACACAGTTCAGAGACTTTCAGATCAGTGATTTGGATATATTTTTCATTAAATAATTTGCAAACAAAGGAAGAAAAGACTGAAAATTTTAAGGAAGAAGAAGACATTTTATGAAGGTGTAAGAAAAAAAGCAAGCAAGAAAGAAAGAAAGTATGGAAAAAGAAAGAAAGAATGAAAAAAGAAATTTTTTTAATTAAGGTGCAAAGAAAATGCAAACAGGCATGAAAGAAAGAAATAAAAAACTAAGTAAATAAAGTGCTAGAGAATAGAAAGAAAGAAAGAAAGAAAGAAAGAAAGAAAGAAAGACATGAGATTATAAGAAAAAAAACAAGCAGGAAAGAAAAAAAAGAAGCCCCCAAAAAAAAGTGTAATGAAAAAGTAAAAGGCTTTTGAGAGTGTAAAGAAAAACCAAGCAGGCAAGAAAGAAATAAAGAAAGAATGAGAAAAGTTTCTTATCAGAGTGTAAGCATCTTCTCAGTATTCTCTCTTTCTGTCTCTCTCTTTTTCCCACCTTCCATTTACCTAAACTCATCTCCATTTCACTGAACCTCTTTCTTTTTGGCTAATCCTTTCAGTGAATCAGCCACATGACTCATTAAATCATTCCTTCGATTTGCCTCATTTTCTACTTCTTCTCTCTCTCTCTCTCTCTTGCTTGCTTGTTCAGGGATGAACAGCAGGCGTGTTGTATTGGAGCCTCGACACAGAAGAATCATTCAATAAACATCAATCAATTACGAACAAGCAGAATTATACTTTTCCAAAATCAATTTTAACAATTAATATTAAACGTCAATATTTAATAGGATGTAATCTGAAGAATGGGTTGAAGAGAGAGAGAGAGAGAGAGAGAGAATCTGTAAGGAAGATTTGACATTCTATTTAAAAGCAAGAAAAACAAAGAAAAAAATAGAAAGACTGAGGAGTGTAAGAAAGAAAGAAAAATAATTTTTATGAGAATGTAAGGAAAAACAAAGAAAGAAAGAAAAAGTGTTTTATGAGAACGTAAAGAAAAAGAAAGAAAGAAAGAAAGAAAAATAGTTCTCATGAGAATGTAAGGAAAAAGAAAGAAAGAAAGAAAGAAAGAAAGAAAGAAAGAAAGAAAGAAAGGAAAAGTATTTTATGAGAATGTAAAGAAAAAGAAAGAAAGAAAAAAGAAAAAGTGTTCTTATGGGAATGTAAGGAAAAACAAAGAAAGAAAAATAATTCTCATGGGAATGTAAGAAAAAGGAAAGAAAGAAAGAGTGTTTTTATAAGAATGTAAAGAAAAAGAAAAAAGAAAGAAAACTACTTCTCATGAGAATATAAGGAAAAGGAAAGCAAGAAAAAGAGTTCTTATGAAAAAGGAACAAACAAAAGAACAAAATTTAATTATAATACAAAGGATATCCAAAAAATAAGGGATAAACATGATGTTAAGTGTAAGCTTCCTTTTTATTTCCATTTTCTCTAAAACTTTGTCGTTGCTCACATGTTTGGTCCATAGTATCTTTATGTAGAACCACATTTTTATTGCTTCAAATCTCTTCATCACTGAGGAGATTGTCCAGCATTCACTACCATATAGGAGGACAGATATCACGTAACAGTTCAGTATTCTTTTTTGGCTTCTATCAAAGTTTTTCTGTTTCTTAATCCTCTTCTTAGATTTTGGAATGCATCTTTGGCTATCCCAATGAAGCTTTGGATTTCTGTGTCGCACTTTCCGTCCTTTATTAAAAGTTTAGCTTAGTTTCACACAATGCTACAGGTATGGGGCACTCAGTGAGAATCAAACTCACTGTTCAGTAGTCATGTTCAGCCAGACTAGCTTGTTAACCATTACCCTACATTGAAAATTCTAAGAGAATAAAATTGTTTTTTACTAAGCTTAGCTACATTTGGCACCTAATTGGACACGCTATACATAAGTCATATGCAATCAGATTAGCTTGTTAACCATTACCCTACACTGAGATGCCCAGCTTGTGTAACAAGGTTGTCATTAAGATATATTCCAAACATATCATTTTGTGCATACATCTCTTGGGGTAAAATTGTAGCAGATGGCTATGCCATGGGTTATTTTGAAATAACAGAGGCAAGATATTTTGGTCAAGTTCAATAGGAGTAGACTGTTTTTCCTATCGCCCAGTTTACACTTCTCCCTGTTTTTTTGAACAGGAGTAGAGGTTCATTCATTGTTTCCTGTTTAGGATTGTGTTTCTAGTTCCTTCTAAAGTCTACTCTATGTTTTTACTGTCTCTGTCTAAACTCTTGAAATTTTACTTACTATTTATTTTTTATTTTTTTCTCGATAGTAGATAAGTTTGCCTATTGTCTGTTTAGGTTTCCAGTTACTTCTAAGGTCTTTTCATTCTCTTTCACTACCAGTAGCCTCTTATGTCTTAGTGGTATTACCACGATGCTTGGGACAATCACAACAAAATTACAGCACAACCATAAAATGGAAATCTATATTGATTGATTGATTCATTTTTTACAGCTTATCAAACCATTGCAAGTTATTTAAAGCCAGAAAATATTTTTAGATTGTAAGAACATTTTTTTGGGTGATAATAATGGTTTAGCAATACAAGTCTTACTAATTAACTCGTAGATTGGGGGAGAAGAGGTGAACTCATTCCTTTCCCATGGGTATATGTGAATATAATGAATTCAATGAGAAGTAGAACTTGGCTCTCTGATTAACAAATCTGAGCCATTACTAAATGGTCAACCATCTAGGTACTGACCAAGCTCAACAATGCTTAACTTCAGTGATCATATGGGAACCCGTGTTTCAACATAATATGGCTGTTAACCCTTTATACAACCCACATCCAAACTTTCAGTACTTGGTATTCCCAACTGGTCACCCATCAGGTACTGATTAGGCTCAATGCTGCTTAACTTCAGTGATCACAGAGGAACTGGTCTTTCAACCTGATATGGCTGTAAGCCCTTTATACCACCTGCATATCCAAACATATAGCATTTGGTATACCTAAGCAGTCACCCATTTAGGTACTGACCAGGCTCAATGTTGCTTAACTTTAGTGAGTGTATGGGAACTGATTTTTGAACATGATACAGTCATTAGTTTTTATATCACTCACACATTTAAGCATACAGGAGTTGGTATTCATCACACATCTCGGTACTGACCAGGCTTGATGTTCATCTTTGGTGATTGGACAAGAACTGGTGATGTACACACAATTAGACAAGTCTTTGAAATAAGACTTATGAATTATACATTCAGTCAGGACCATCCATAGCCTGGGCTGGGTATAAAATTGTAATATAGATAGATATTTTATGAAAAATCCATTAACTATATTCTAACGTAAACATTGTGTGGTTCCTACATATGACAGTTAGTCCATTACATTGATTTAATAGATCATTATTTTTAGGAAACTTAATGTGTAGTGTTTCATGTAGACACAGGGGCATGGTTCATTTAAAGACTTTCAAATTCTCGTTTTTGTTAATATTTTCAATTTTACTGTGGAGGTTTCATTGATTCTTTTAAACACAAAAATATTTAGATAGGGATGTTCGGTTGTGGTACCTATTGCTGTTAAAGAAAGAAATATGTTGGTACCATCTTAATTTAAAAGAGTTATTTATGCTTCCAATATAAAGTTTCTTAACATCTGGGTTTTCAGTAGTTGAAATAGAGCATTGATAAACAATACCTTCAGTAAGACATTTGCTTTCCAATGGACACTTTATGAGATTTCTACAATTACATAATTTATTTTCAAAATTATTGATTTCTGTTTTGGAATTACTATTATTTTTATTTAGGTTTAAGTATTTATTTAAAATTTCATTATTATGTCTTTTTAAATATTTTTTTTATATTATGCTCTATGTTGTATTGAGCACTTTTTAAAAAAAAGTATATGCTAAAGAACTGTGGGTTCTAAATCTGTTTGTTCTTTCTCTTCATTTGTGTGTGTGTATACATACATATATATATATATATATATATATATATATATATAGTGCTGTGTGTGAATAAAATAGTGCTGTATGTAATATAACAAAGCTATTAATTATATATTAATAAATATACATATTATCTCTCACCAGTTTGTCTATATTTCTGAGATGAGGTATTATGTACAGTATTTACATTAGTCGGACTATTGTCCTCATCTTTGTCGCCATATTTGTCACAACGTTTTCGGCCGTTGTATGCGCTCCCGCCTTCTTCAGGTGGTTGGAATTTCGAACTGAACCCTTTATTTCGATCGCTGGGGTAGACTGTTCTAATTCCACGTTCCATGTTTGATGGATGTCAGTTATCAGTTATCTCCTGCTAATTTTCCCTCTGAAAGTTCTCAAGTTCTGTGGGATCATGTTGAGATCATAGACAGGGAACACCATTGGAAAATTCGTAAACTTAAGGAATCAGCACATATGCTAGGCCACAAAAATCTCCTGAGCTGACCAAGCATAGAAATAAATACAATATGGGAACCAGTAATAAGGAGTGCCAGAGAAAAGCAATGATAACAAAGTTGCAATATGAACTCTGGTAAAGACATGCAATGATAACAGCAAAAAATTGCAATATGAGCACTGGTAAAAATGATGCTGAAAACATTAGGTTTATAATACTCAGAAGTTCATACCCAGATGTCCTCAAGGACACATGGCACAGTGGATAAAGGCGTTGGTTAGATCCAGTGACAGTCCCAAAGAAGGTGAGTTCAATTCCTGGTTAAGGCAGTGGAGAACTTTCAGAGGGAAAATTAGCAGGAGATAACTGATAACTGACATCCATCCATTAGAACAGTCTACCCCAGCGATCGAAATAAAGGGTTCAGTTCGAAATTCCAACCACCTGAAGAAGGCCAGAGCGTACAACGGCCGAAATGTTGTGACAAATATGGCGACAAAGATGAGGACAATAGTCCGACTAATGTAAATACTGTATCTCTCACCAGTAGGACATCTCAGAGTTTGATGCACAACACAATCTTCAAGATTGTGTTGTGCATCAAATTATGGGTTGTGCTATCAGTGAGGGATGTGTATATATATATATATATATATGTATGCGTGTGTGTGTGTATGTATGCAAGCTTCATTAAATATGACAGACAAGGTGCTTTGATTAAATTTTTTATATAATTTCTCAAATGATCTTATAAATTTTTCTTTTCCTTAGATAAATTATACAAAAAATGACCAAATGTTTTATTTTTTTTTGGCTATAGTTTAACCATTATCAATGAAGAATTATATTGACTGTTAACTCGAAATAGATTGTTGTGTGTATGTATTTAGCATTATAGATAATAATAATATAATGCCTAAAGGCATAGCTGAAAGTGCATGGAAAAATAAAACATTTGGACAGTTTTTGCATAATTTATCTACGGAAAAGGGGAAAAATTATAAGTTCATATGAGAAACTATATAAAAAATTTAATCAAAGCACTATCTCTGTCATATTTAATGAAGCTTACTTGAAAGAAGGATTGCTGCCTAAATACACAATATATATAATATTTTGAACATTAAAAAAATATTAAAAAATTAAAATCTTCAGACACACTAGGTTGTAGATTAATATTCTTTTGTTTTTTTATTATTATTTCATTTAGATTCCTTGACTAGTTTCGTCCGAAATGGCCATCATCAGGAGGAGAAATATTTCTGCTTGCTGTTAGCAGTAAACTACAGAAATGAATATATATATATATATATATTAGGTTTATGACTTTTTGCAAAATAATTGATTTTCCGTATCATAATTTGATGAACTTTTGTTAAGCAATAATGTTTAATTCATTTTTTTTTTTTTTACAAAATGTCACCCCAACATGAAATTAATGAAGAAGGAGTGCTTGAAAAAGTTAACACTCACAAGGCATATTGAGGGCAAGAGAAATAGGGTGAACCACTTATCTGACTAAATTGCAGGAATAGATAACAAAACTACATGGAGTAAGAGCCTTAGCAAAGAGAGAAAAATTACTAAGGACCACAAGGAATAGGAAGCTGTGGAGAACCATGACCATCCATATCTTGAGGAAGATATACCTTCTTTGATAACTGAAAGTCATGTTCTCAACAGCGTGTATCTTGTAGATTTGTTAGAAGTAATTTTTCTCCCCCTGCCTGACAAAAGAAGCAATCAGAATTGTGATATGGTTTTAACATCGGTAAATAGAGTGGGAGAATATATGACAAACAATTTCAATAACTGCATAACGAATGGTCACATCACTACAAATTGGAACGAGATGCATATATAAATTGATGTAAAAGAAAAGAAAAAAGCATTATAGTGGCGAGTGAGAGAGAGAGAGAGAGAGAGAGAGAGAGAGAGAACGTGAGTGGTATCAAGTATGCCAGTCAACCTTTTGCATCACCATGGTGAATAACAGTGGAAAGATTTTTTTTCTTCATCTTTGCATAAACAGTGGGAGACAATGTAATCTGTACACACACACAAATACCAGCAGAGCAAACAGCTCCTGACACAGCTCCAATTTATATTGAAAGATAATAGCAAGAATATCTGGAGAAGAATTGGTTTCTGTATTGTGTAGGTGTTTGAGGTTAATGATTTTTAAGTTGAAGAGTTAGGGATTTTCTTTTAGTTTTTGATAATTGTTGAAGCTTAAATAAGCATGGAATAATACAACACAAAATGTACGTTAACAAAATGTATTGAAACAAAGAATAGGTACACAATATTTACAGTTAGTTTGGTATATTCTTGGGAAGACTGTTCCTGCATAATGGGTTGACTAAATCGCAGTCGGGCAGAGTCTCTGGATTCAATTTCTTAATCTCTACTATCTTCCCCGTCTTCCGGTACCAACCCATATTTATATGGTCGGTAGTCCGCTTATGTAAATTAGGTGTATCATACACAACAATAATTAAGACATGCAGATTGTTATCATGCTGCAATTTGTAACTATCTAAATTTAATGTGATAATTTAATGTTTTAATTCATTAGTCAATGTTTTTTTTTTGGCATATATTGCCAACTGTTGAATAGCAGGAGAGACTGGGTCCTATAGACTTAGTCAGCAACGAGTCTACTGCAGAAAGAAATGGCAACCTATTGCGGGAGAATCATCTGCCTAGTTAGTCATGAATTGAAAGAGACATGACTGACCAAGCGTGTATCATGTATAACACTTAACTGACTGAATTTTTTGTTAAATTGTTAAAATTCATTCTTCATGGTTGATTGATTGATTTTTTTTTTACAGTTTATCAACCCTTTGTGGGTTAATTAAACATATTTTAGATTGTAAAAATAATTTCTTTTTTGCAAGTGATTATTGCATTAAAAATTTTTTGAAATAACAATGATTTTTTCCAGATACAAGTTCTACTATTTAACCCATAGCTAGGGAGAGGATTGATTCATTTTTTATGGCTTATCAACTGTTTGCAAGTTAATTAAAGACATAAAATAGTTTTAAATTGAAAGAATTTTTTTGTTTGCTTAGAGATAATAATGGTTTTAGTGATACTAATTAACTTATAGCTAGAGGGAGAAGAATCATACCTGTCCCAAGGATATTTGCATATACAAACCCAATGGGAATTGGAACACAGCTCTCTGTTTAACAATTTTGAGCCATTATTCATTGCAGCACCTGCACATCAAAACATACAGCACCTGTTACTCTCAAGCTATCACCCATTTAGTTACTGACCAGGACCAACATTGCTTAACTTTGGTGATCATATGGGAACTGGTGTTTATATAGCCATAAGTCTGTTTTATCAGGGGTACTTGCACATAAATGAATAGAACAAACTTAGTTGGAATTCGAACTGAGTTTTCGATTTCTCATTTTGAGCTAATATCCATTAGACCACCCACACATCCACGCTTAGAGCCCTGGTGTTCCCAAGTGGTTACTAATCTAAGTACTAACTAGATTCAATGTTGCTTAACTATCTAATACACCAATTGCACATCTTCTTTCTTCATGGAAAGAAAGAAAAGTTTTTAAAAAAGATTTTAAAGTTTAAAGTTTTCTTTACTTTTGATAAGAAAGGATTCTCAAATTGATAAATATTAACTGTAATTTTGTTTCTGTTATAAACCCCTTTTCTTTTTTATTCTTTCTTTATTTCTAATACAACTGCAAGAATTTACAGGAATTAAACAGAAATAAATATTTAAAAACCAAACATTTCATTAAAGATAGAAATAAATTTATGTTAAAAATTCATTCTTTATGAAAAGAAGGATGTAAAAAAATTTATTTAAATTTTCTTTATATCTGATAAAATGTAAAAAAGAAAAAAAAATGGCTTCCTAAATTGATACAATATTAACAGTAAATTTTTTTCTAACATACTTCCGTTATGCTTTATTTCTTGAATCTTTCTGTTTGTAATATAATAGTTAGAATTTGCAAGAATTAAATAGAAAAGAAAAATGTTAAACCAAACATTTCAATGTTACACTGGCATTCTATAGAATAAAATAATCCATTAAAATAGAAATTATAAATGAAGCAGCCATTTCAGACATCATCATTTTAAATCTTGCAACATTCTTTAACAAAGCATAATATAAAATTTGAAGTTTCTAAAATTAAATAAAATTTTGGGTAACATCAGGTTTTTAATTCTCTCCAATCTATCAATCAAGCAATTTGCAGTTCTTGTGAACTTATTTGACCATTGAATAGAACTAAATATTCAACTTTAACAGTAAATATTTTATTATTTGAATTTCTTAGATGAAGCCTTGTCACTTATTATTCATTTTTGACTAGCATTTCTTTCATTTTTCCACCAAGTAGTAAGTTAAGTTGTCTATATTTCTTAGATGAAGCATTGTTAAAACCAACAACTTTGACCTCATGAAAATATCTAATAATATAATTGAATAAAGTTTGTCTGTCATGGACCTTACTAAATGATGTGTCCTTCAGTGACAGACCAAGCTGAGGTCAAAAGGATACTATTGGTAAAGAAAGGTCTCATTAGCCACCTAACATATTAACTACAACTAAAATTCTTCAACTGGAAAATAGAGCAAATCAATCTCTAGTCAGGATCAGATGATTTCAGGGGACATTTCATTTTAGAATACTGTACAAATTTAAACCTTGGTGTTGTCTGTATGCATGAGATACATTAACTTGGTAGTGTGGCTCCATTGAACATTTGAGAAACAACTTCTACTGGACTGGCCTAAAGGAGAAAAAATGCATGGAGTAGGAATTGCAATATTGCAAATTGTTAGATATTGTAACTGACAGTGTTTTACATCAATCAGAATGACTGATGGCTGTCGATAGAGCTGCTCATGGCTGTACAATTTGAGTGATATTAGCTTATGCTCCAACTAAAAAAAAACTTCAAAAGAGGGTTTAACTAAGAATACATCAGATTTTGAAACAGAAGCATCAAACAGCAATGAGGAACTCTTGTTAAATTTTTGTTATTCAAAATGATATTCCATCCTTAGACTATGGTTCACTGTTACAAACTCTGTTTACTAGGGTGGAAAGTGTGTGCAATGATAGAAAAGTAAAAAAAAAAAAAATAGAAAACTAAAGAAAATAGAAAACTAAAGAAAATAGAAAACTAAAAGTTGGCAAACCAAAATGGTTTGCCATAAAGAAATAAAAATAAAAAGACAAAAAAAAACCCCAAGAAATAAATAAAAAAGATCAAAAGGTCATCATTCCTCAATTTAAAAAGGGCCAAAAGGTCATCATTACTAAATGTAGGTGAAGAAAGAGAGATAATCAAATGAGTCACATCTGTGAAGAAATCAGAAATCAAGAAACAATTCTGAAATAAATTCTTGTCTTGGAGAAAGTGATAAACCTACAGAGACAACCAATCAAATGTACCAGAGAGTTGATGGAATAATTTTGTCCATTCTCCCATGCCTATATTTTTGTACACCTAGAAATCCTACAGGGAGTCAAAAGGATTACTACTATCAAGACATACTTAAATACATACATACACATTTACAAAGACTTTTTCTCTCTCTTTTTCTTTTATATGATACAAAACTTAGACATTCAACATGAGAATTTTCTGCTCTGAATTTATGAACCCTTTAAATATTATATATTTTATTTTAAGAGATATAAAATTTTATCATTACATGCAAAATATATCTTTGTAATAATTATCTTTGCATGAATTTTTAAAAGGCCAAAATATATTGGGATTAAAGATATTATTCAATGATAATCACTTGTAAACAGAACTGCCACGTAAACCAGTCCATGAAACACTGGATCACATGGCATTGCCCAGATAAAGTAACGAAAAAGATTATGGACTTCAGTATCTTAAACTCTTCACTCAAGCAATTTGTGACAGATGTTAGAGCATACAACTCCTATTTTGAATCTGATCACAGACATCTTTTAACAAAACTAGCAACACCACCTAACAAAACACCTTGCTCACATTCATATAAACCACGAAAAACATCTAGCTCTCAGAAAATGAAAGTGTAAGAGCAGAATGCTGTGATAAACTAGAGTCCAAATTGATGTCCAAATTGATCTTGATCAACATAACATAGTTGAATCAAATAATGAAATCATTAGCCAAAGTACGTGATGATTCCAAGAATATATAGACAAAAAAGATACTCTTGTGGGATGAAATCTTGAATTGTAAAGATTAGTACAAAGAAGAAACAGAAGAAACATATGAAAGAGGAAGAAAAATGAGAGAGAGAGAGAGAATATGAAAGAGGAAGAAAAATAAGAGAGAGAGAGAGAGAGAGAGAATATGAAAGAGGAAGAAAAATAAGAGAGAGAGAGAGAGAGAGAATGAAAAGGAAGAAAAAATAAGAAAGAGAGAAGAAAATGAAAGAGAAAGAGATAAGAGAGAGAGAGAGAATATGAAAGAGGAAGAAAAATAGAGAGAGAGAGAGAGAGAATATGAAAGAGGAAGAAAAATGAGAGAGAGAGAGAGAATATGAAAGAGGAAGAAAAAAAAAGAGAGAGAGAGAGAAGAAAATAAGAGAGAGAAGAGAGAGAGAAATGAAAGAGGAAGAAAAAGAGAGAGAGAGAGAATATGAAAGAGGAAGAAAAAAAAGAGAGAGAGAGAGAGAATATGAAAGAGGAAGAAAAAAAGAGAGAGAGAGAGAGAGAATATGAAAGAGGAAGAAAAAAGAGAGAGAGAGAGAAGAGAAAGAGGAAGAAAATGAAGAAAGAGGAATGAAAAGGAAGAGAGAGAGAGAGAGAGAGAGAGAATATGAAAGAGGAAGAAAAAAAAAGAGAGAGAGAGAGAGAGAATATGAAAGAGGAAGAAAAAAATGAGAGAGAGAGAAGAGAAGAGAAAGAGGAAAAAAAATGAGAGAGAGAGAGAGAGAATATGAAAGAGGAAGAAAAATAAGAGAGAGAGAGAGAGAGAATATGAAAGAGGAAGAAAAATGAGAGAGAGAGAGAGAGAATATGAAAGAGGAAGAAAAATAAGAGAGAGAGAGAGAGAGAATATGAAAGAGGAAGAAAAATAAGAGAGAGAATATGAAATAATTGACAAAGAAAATTAAAAAAATACTAGTTAATGCTCTAAAAAATCCTGAAAAACTTTAAAAAATTGGAAACCAAATTAATGAAGCCAAGCGGCATAGACTAGGTGTTAAAATGTGGGGAAAAGTAGAAAAATCATAACATTATACAGGAGATACAGAAAAGCCAACACAGAAGAAATGTCCTGGTCTCATAAAACACATTTTAACATTGACCATACTAAACTAAAAATGGAAGTGTATAAGGTGGGGATAGGTAAAAAAAAAAAATTTCTGAAGACTTTGCTGAAAATTTTGCTTTAGAACTTTCTCTGCCTCTTGGATTGTAATATTTGAGATGAAATAGTGAGAAGTGTATAAGGTGGGGATAGGCAAAAAAATAAAACAAATCTGCAGACTTTGCTGAAAATCTTTTTCTTTAAAGTTTTCTCTTGCTTCATGATAGTCAAGACGAAATCATGAGATGCATATAATGTTGTGTGGGATGATTAAAAGCTCACTGGATTTTGCTGAAAATTTATGTTATCAAAAATATTTTTTTGATAATTTTTAAAATTCTTTTTATTAAATTTATAAGCATCAAAAACTTCTGAAGAGGATGACATAGATGAAGGATGTTTATACAAGTTAGAAAGAGAAATGTATAAGTTTTAAATGACACCTTCCAGTGACAGGAGAGTTGGTAAATTTTCAGTACCATTTATGAGTAAACAATCTCGCAACGATTGGAGATATATGACGTTGAAGAGAAAACCGAGAGAAAGGAAGAATGCAAGAGATAGAGAGAACGTTTAAGGTTGGATGGTGGTACCAAGAACAGGTAGGGAGATAAAAAGAGTAGGATACATCATTGAGAGTCAGGAAAGATGTTACAGGTAACATTAGTCCTAATAATCCTATCTGGAATGCTAGACATAGCTGACCTACCTTACCTATCTACCTACCTACCGAGAAAACTCTTACACTCCCTCAACCCATCTGTTCTACGAAGGCTGATGCAATTACTACTCGTTTGAAGCAGGTATCAGGAACAAAATGTGAAAGTGCTAAGTGAATGATTCTCAAGTAGGCTAACATATAACTTTACACACCAATAAGCTAAAAATATAGTGAACTATTTAATGTTAGGCATTTGGAGTTGTCTGACACGTAGCAAGCATCCTATCATGTTTAAAAAAGCCAGAAGATGTAAAAGTAACCTCCAAGTGAGTCCCAAATACAAAGGTAATATTTAATTTATGAAGAAGACATGCATTTTCATGCACACTTCATGGTATTTATCGATAACTATCAAAATTCCAAAACTTAAAAAAAAAAGTGTCATATTTCAGAGAGTATAACTCCCCACCCAACTATTTTCTTTTCTCTCTCCAGATGTCTAAAAAAAAAATCTCTCATAGTTGCAGTATTTGGTAGCCTCAAGTTTACCCAGACACTATTCGGAGCCTAACTCTATAATTCTGTAATATTAAATGTAAATAGGTGAGGTCTCTATGTAAAGGTGAGGTATCTGCAAAGCTTATATTTCCCCAGATACTGTACACTACTCAGACTTGTAAATAACCAAACTCTGTGATATAATATTAAATTGAAATAGGGGAGGTTTGCATGAGAAGTTGTATATAATTGTCTTAAATTGTGTGAATTTTTTTTAGATAAAGCCTTGTCAATTATTATTCATTTTTCACTAGTATTTCTTTCATCTTATTTCTCTAGCTTTCCCACCAAGTAGTAATAGTCTTAAGCTGACTGAATTTCTTAGATGAAGCCTTGTCAATTATTATTAATTTTTGACTTGTATTTCTTTCATTTACACTTTTTATCACAACACATAGGTCAACTTACCTTTCTTGAGTCATTAAGAATTGGACATAAAGATGAGATTTAGATGAGATAAAATTTGAATGAGATTTGGATTTTCAAGGAAACAGCTTATTATTTTAATCATATGGAGCCTTCCAGTTAAGAGAAGGTATATGGTATTTGGTAGGCTAGTATTTACCCACATGCCACTGACTACCAGGATTTGAACTCCATAAAACTGTAATATTCAATGAAAATAGAGATTTGTATACAAAGTTGTGTCATCTGGTTGGCTAATATTTGCTCAGAAACCATAGACTATCAGCACATGTACCTAGCCTAATTAATAATGTAAATAGAGGTTTATATAAAAAGAAAAACATTGCTAAGAGCTACAAATGAAAGGAAGTTGAGGAGAGCTATGATCAACCTACCAAACAATCTTGTATAAAAGGATGGCAGAACAGGGAACGAGAGTGATAGTAAAAAGACAAACATTTCTAAGCACTACAATGAAAAGGAAATCGTGGAGAGCCAAGATCAACCATGTCCTGAAGGAACATGGCACATAGAAGGCGATAATTCTAGGAATCAATGACTTAAATCCTGGGATGTCATAAAAGAAGATTTTAAAGTTAAATTTCAAAAAAGCTTTACCAACATTTGTTTTCATATTTTATTATTTTGCAGAGTTTTCCTCTTTGCAACCTTGGCTTTACAAATACAAGTGCAGTACTAGATTGGATAGGGATGTGCATTGTGGTGTGATGGTTAAGAGGCTTGGAATGAGAAATTGGAGAACTGAGTTTGAATTCCAGTTAGGTTTGTTACATTCACTTACTGCATGAAAATCTGCCTAGTCAGTCATGAATCGAAAAAGACATGATCGCCCAAACGTGTATCACGTATGGCATTTAACAGACTGACTGTTGTTATCATGGTTTGAATAGCAGGGCAGAGTGAGTTCTATAGCCTTGGTTGGCAACCAGTCTACCATAGAAAGAAACGGCAACCTACTGCGGGAAAATCTTCTGCCTAGTCAGTCATGAATCGAAAAAGACATGATCACACAAACGTGTATCACGTATGGCATTTAACAGACTGACTGTTGTTATAATGGTTGAATAGCAGGGCAGACTGGGTCCTATAGCCTTGGTTGGCAACCAGTCTACTGCTGAAAGAAATGGCAACCTGCTGCAAGAAAATCTTCTGCCTTCATGAATCAAAAGACACATGATCGACCAAGCATATGGCACTACTTGCCTGACTGACTAGATTGGCAGCTAGGTCTCATTATTTTCCAGTTAAAATTGCAAGATGTAACCATGATTTCTATATTAAAAGTTTCTTCTCTTGCACTTCTCACTAGTAGAAAATTCAAAAAATTTAAATGCAACATAAGTCATCAACATCTCTCTTTTTGAACCCTGCTCTTTTATTGTTCTCTCACCTTAATAATGATTTTTCTCATATTCTTTCACTCTCTGTTACTCCTTGCATTTTAGTGGCTTGGGGTAAAATGAAAAAGACAGTGCTCAAACTGATTAGTCCAATATAGACTACTCAGAGACTGGTCAATACACTGAACAGTACAAAAAAACTAACACTTACACTGTGTACTGTATAAACAGTACAAAAATTGATCAATGCACTTTAGTGTACATTAATTAATAATTGCTGAAAATGCTTCATCTAATAAAAAATAGATTAAAAATAAAATAGTGCTGTAATAGTTTGCTATCTTGGAGAATGTATTTCATGCAATGTTTGTCTTCTATGCAAAATGGAATCAGGATTTTTATGCGAACACTTCTCTCGCATTTCTCAATTGTGAATCTTGTTTCTGTCTTCTTGCTTTCCTGTTAATTATGATCTTCAAAAATTTAAATGCACATCAATCATCGAAATGTTTCTTTTTGAACACTGTTCTTTTATTGTCCTTTTAACTTAATAATGATTTTTATCATATTCTTTCACTCTCAGTAAGCTTGTGTCTTTTAGTGGCTTTATTGTTTTGTTTGGGATGAAATAATGGGTGACAATGCTTCATCTAATAAAAAAGTAGATTAAAAATAAAGATAATACTGCAATAATTTACTATCTTGAAGAATGTATTTCCATGCAATGTTCATCTTCTACATGCCATGTCCCTTCAATACATAGGTGATCATAGTTCTCCACAATTTCCTGTCCTTTGTTGCTCTTAATAAATTTTGTCTTTTGTTATCTCTCCTAAACCTTGTTCTCTCATCCATTTACTCAAGCTCATTCTTCTTCTTCTATGTACTGGGTCATTCCAGGATGTTGGCGATCATGGCTCTCCACAATTTCTTGTCATTTTAGCTCTTAAAATTTTTTGTCTTTTTGTTATCTTTTCCAAACCCTGTTTTGCATTCCTTTTACTCATTTCCTCAAAGGTGCTTTGTTCTTGTTTTCAATATGTCCTGTGCATTCCTAATTTTCCAAGCCCTCTTTCCTCATTATGTGCCCTAGAAATTTCAACTACTTCTCTGATGTTAAGCATAGCAAGAGAAAAAGAGACCCCCCCACCCCACGCCAAAAACAAAATTCATACAAGTGATTTAATTTCAATCAGGGTAACATTTATAAAATTTCTTGAATAAAAGAAAGAAAGCGAAAAAAAAGCAAAACAGAAAACTAGTGTTCATTCCTGTATCTTTTTTCTTTTCTTTTTGTAACCGTAAACTTTCTACTGAATGCTTTCTTTTAAAATTTATCAGTTTCAGTGTTCTCAGGTATACTACACAGGCAAAGACGGTTATCAAATCCGCAACAAAGAACGCCTTTCATTTTGAGTAACGAGGACAGATGTCCAGTATTCTATGGTGGCACCACCAAGATGCACATAACTTTCCACCATGCTACTTCTGCTACTACTAACTGTTGTTAAAATGGTTTCAAAATGGATTGCAGAAGAACTATTTGACTTAGTAGACTAATATAAACTTTGTGGGTAACCTCACTTGGCTTTGCTAAATGCTTATGTCTATAAAAAGACAAACATTGTCTTCCTCTCTCTTTTTCTTCCTCTTGCTCCAAGATGTAGCAACACATGGAAAAAGGATGTCCCCATTGGGATGTGTTTGTTTCCTTAGTCAACTGATGACTATGTACCACATACATGCTCATAAACAAGCACATTCTTAATAGCTAAGTTGTTAATGTCATCTCCTTTCCTTTCAGCTGTGTGCAGCACATTAATGTTATATTTATGTCATAGAATATTTGCTAAAAAACATCTATACTCCACAACAAAAGTGTTGATTCCTGCTAGTGCAAGGTTCTTGTGCCCCATCAATCTATGATACGGCAACCAGACTAAGAGAAGGAAAACTCTGAAATGAAAACTGTGGAGAAGGCAATGAAAAATTACTCGGCTAAAAAAAAATGAAATCTGTGGAGAGCCATAATGACCTATATCGTGAAGGACATGGTTTTCAAGAATAGGTTAGATATCAGGATAAACCAAGCTCTCTAGCCTTGGTTGGCAGCCAGTCTAAGAGAAAGAAGTTCAGAATTCAAAAGTGGGGAGAAGGCAATAAGAAATCTCTCTACTGTCTTTTCCAAGAATAAATAGGAAGCTGTGGAGAGCCATGATAGCCTATGTCATGAAGTGACAGGGTACCTTAACAACATAATCAGATTTTTATAATAACTATTGCATTCAGTTTGTTTTGTTGGCAACAGCTTCTGTTTTATAGTCAGCTAGACATCTGTGCTGTTTTACCATTTCCATTGACAAGGTTTTTGACATAAAAACTTGGCCATATTGGAGTAAGGTTAGAGAAGTCCAGACAACTAACAAAGATATGGCACGTACATAAATACCAACAGGTTTCTATGATAAGAGAATTTTAGGCTGCCTCCCCAGTCTGAGAGTAAATGGCTTGATTAGTAAGCACGAGATCTGCAGAAGGCACTGATACATCAATAATGGCACTGATATGGTACTTTTTGATAGCTGAATGAACATGAATGTCTGTTCATATCTATCTCAGCCTGTTCATATCTATCTATCTATCTATCTATCTATCTATCTATCTATCTATCTATCTATCTCCATCTGTTCATATCTATCTATCTATCTATCTATCTGTAGAAAAAACATTTGAATAATGCAAAACTTCTACTTGAAGAAAACTGGTTGCATACAAATAGAAAATGAATTCAGTAAAATAGAAAGGGGCCTAAGATTCATTGAGCATTTACAACAAAAGGTGATCCTGAGAGAATTGAAAGTCCTACCAAGATTTATTATTGGTGGACACAATCTTAGCCATATAAGATATGCAGATGACATAGTGTTGACATGGAAAGGAAACTACAGGAACTCCTGGAGATGGTAGTAAAGGAAAGTGAGAAGAAAGGACTAACCATCAATTCTAAGAAGATGGTTGCAGCTAGAGGAATTGCACAGATGGAAAATGCGGCAGTGAAATTGAAAGGCACATTGGAATAGAGAAAGAAGCCTTCTGAGAATTAAGCTAAGTATTAAGAAATAGGAAAATTTCATGAGAAACAAAGAAAAGAACTGTTATGTAGTATTGGTCTTCCTCTATTGGTAGTGAATGCTGGAAAATCACATCACTGATGAAGAAGAGATTTGAGGCAACAGAAATGTGGCTTGATAGAAGACTGCTGGGAATACCATGGACTAAACATTTGAGTAGTAAGGAAGTCTTAAAACAAAAATAAAAAGGATTCTTATATGAAGAATCAGAAAGTAATTGAAAGTTCTAGGGCGCATGATATGAAAAGAGGGACAGAGGAAAACAGTGTGTAAATGGATGGCAGAACAGCGATTGGAAGAGATAACAATAAGACAATGTATACTAAGGAATACAAAGGATAGGAAGATGTGGAGAGCCATAATTACTTATAGTAGAAGAATTATCTATCTATCTTTTTTTCTTTTCTATTTTTTAATCAGTTTTTTCTTCAATCAGTTTAAAGCCACTAAGACAGAAGGGGTTACAGGGTGGGGAATAATTATGAAGAGAAACATTACTAATGAGTGGAAAGAGAAAAGAGTAATCAGGACAGTAGATAGTGATTGACATTGCATTTAAATTTTGGAAGATTAAAGTTGGCTAGAAAGCATGGAACCAGAAGGGAGTTCCACGAATGAGAAGTGTGAGAAAAGAAACTGTTAGCATAGAACTTATGGCTACAGCTAGCCATTTCAATGGCAATCTAGTATTACACTTAAATTCAAAATGTCTAGGTATCATAATGAAGTGCTCAACTGAACAATTATCATGAAAGTACTTCTAGAAAAGCCACAAAGAGGCAACTTTATGATTGTAGGTAAGTAACTGAAGCCAAGCTGCTAGATCAGGACCAATAATATTGATGATTCTTTGCATTTTATCAAGGAGCTCAAGGTAAATAGCAGGGTCACTGGACCATATGTGGCAGCAATATTCTAACCATGATTGAATGGGAGACTCATAGATATATATGTTAGATTCTGGAGAGAAACATTGTCTTACACAACACAATGAACAAATTTCTTAGCAGCTGACTTTGCAATGGATTCAATATATTCTTTCCACTTCATTTCAGCTGAAAATGCTATCATAAGTCATGCTGATCTCTCTCCATCTCATTATAAATAAATATAAATATAAAAGTGAACATTGATGTCAACACTCAGAGGTAACAGGCTGTATCATGCTGGACACAATTGTCAGGCTGCCTGACGATTATGTCCAGCATGAAACAGCCTGTCACCTCTGAGTGTTGACTTCAATGATCACTTTTATATTTATATTTACATACACGATTTATGTCTGAGATTGAGCACATCCCATAAATATAGCACACCTTAAAACTATATATATATATATATATATATATATATATATATATATATATATAGTGCGATGGATAAATTGTCGTCTAATTTAGGCAAAAATAGAAATAACATTGACATATCATTTTTATATTTATGAAAATTACACAAAAATATCTTGAAATACTATAAGAGTAAATTTATATATTCATTATATAAGTAATATTCAATGCATGGACAAATGGTAGAGTTATAATTGTGTAAGATAGATTCTGGCAAGAAAAACTGTCTAGCATGATACAGTGAACATAGTTTCCTAGCAACAGAGCTAGCAATTGATAGCAGTTGCAGTATAAGCCACAGGTGGGAGTCTGGGAGTTAGGGTGTGAATAATGCAAATGATAATGCACATGTTTTGTATGAGTTTTTGATTAATTCAATCTGTTAGAAAATATCCTAAATGGAAAATCTGTCAACAGACAGACAATAAATACGTTGAAAGAAAATTGCAAATGTTGGGTAGAAAAGCTGCATTTGTCACTTCATCTTTAAGAAAGATTCCATCCAAATGACTTTGGCTGACTCTCATATAATGCTTACCAATTCCATTAACTCTGGTATTTAACAAAGCTACTTGTGCTCTTTGAGTCTTTTAGACTTTCTTTACTGTTGACCTTCTTTCAGTACTGTAACCGATTCTGTCTCTGTAACCTTTAAAATCGCATTTCATGCTACCTCTTCTATTTCTCTTGGCTCGTAGGCCTTTTTCTTTCCTTTCTGGTGATAAACACATTGTCCAGTGAATTCTTTCATGAGAAACAGTCATAAAAAATAGTCTAATTTTTTTATCAGCTATAAGCATGAATTTCTTCATCTCTGAGGAGATTGTCCAGCATTCACTGCCATATCGGAGGACAGATATCACACAACAGTTCGGTGCACTTTTCTACTGAACTATTATGTGATATCTCTCCTCTTGTATGGCAGCGAATGCTGGGTAATCTCTTCAAAGATAAAGAAGAGATATGAAGCAACAGAAATGTGCTTCTACAGAAGGATGCTCAGGATACCATGGATGGAACATGTGAGCAATGACGAAGCTTTAGAGAAAATCCAAATATAAAAGGAAACATCCTTAACATCAGGAAAAGACAGGTGAAATTTCTGGGTCACAGAATGAGAAAAGAGGGCTTGGAAAATTTGATACTCACAGGACAGATTGAAGGCAAGGGGGACAGAGAAAGAACAACATATAACATTTGTGTAAAAGCTTGGCAGAACATGTTTTAGGAGAGATAATAAAAACCAAAATTTACTAAGAGCTACAAAGGAGAGGAAATCATGGAGAGTCATAATTGCCAATGTCCTTGAAGTAATAAGGTTCACAGAAGAAGTAGAAGGACTCTATATTAAGCATTATCTTGCATTTCTTCTGTTTTGAGGAGGTAAACTGAATGCTGGACAATCTCCTCAAAGATGATGAAGAGACTTGAAGCAACAGAAATGGGGTTCTACAGAAGGATACTGAGAATACCATAGACAACATGTGAGCAAGAATGAAGTTTTAGAGAAAATGGAAACAAAAAGGAAACTTATACTTAATATCAGGAAGCAACAGTTGAAATTTATAGGGTGCATAGTGAGGAAAGTGGGCTTGGAAAATCTGATACTCACAGGACAGATTGAAAGAAAGAGGAAAACAATGCATAACATACTGAGGTTGAGTAAATGGATAGCAGAACAGGGTTTAGGAGAAATAACAAAAAGAGAAACTTATTAAGATCTACAAAGGACAGGAAATGATGGAGAGCCATGATTGCCTATATCTTGAAGAAACACAGCACATAAAGAGGAAATTAGAGAAAAGGGAAACAAAAAGGAAACTTATACTTAATATTAGGAAGAGACAGTTGAAATTTCTAGGACATAATGAGGAAAGAGTGCTTGGAAAATCTAATACTCATAGGACAGATTGAATGCAAGAGGGGTAGAGGAAAACAATGCATAACATGCTTAGTAAGCAGTTACATTATTTGGACTGTTCTCATATTCATTGCCATATTCACAACGTTTCGGCTGTTGTATGCTCTGGCCTTCTTCAGGTGTTTGGAATTTCGAACTGAAACCTTTATTTTGTCCACTGGAGTAGATTGATCTAGTTTGAAATTCTAATCACCTGGAGAACATACAATGGTTGAAACATTGTGAATATGGCAATGAAGATGAGGATAACAATCTGAATAATGTAAATAATCATAGTACCTCATCTCAGAAATATAGACAGATACTTAATGGGCTTGAGTAAATTGATGGTGGAACGAGGTTGAGGAGAAATAAAAAAAAAACAAATTTATTAAGAGCTACAAAAGAGAGGAAATTGTGGAGAGTAAGTGGATGGCAGAGCAGGATTTAGGAGAGACAACAAAAAGACAAAATGAATTAAGACAAAAGGAGACAAAAGGAAAACTCAACTTAGCCAATGTGTTTTGTCCACTGATAGACTTTAGCAAATTGTTGTGTATGAGATCCTTTTTGTTTTAATAAATATATATAAATATATATAATAAAAATCTTTTACAAAAAAATTACTTTATTTTATATATATATATATATATATATATATATAAAACATACTTTATTTTAGGATATTACATAAAAAAACATGCCAAAATCGCTACACAATTGCAGTTGTGTTTCGATGCGTATCAATGCATCTCATCAGGAGAGTGTATATTTCTGGTGAATGAATGATTTATTCAGATTTAAAAGCAAAATACAGCCTCATTTTACAAAAAGAAAGAAAAAAAGATAAAAAGGGGATGGTGGTTATAAGGTTTGTGGGCTTTACTCAGATCAATCAAATATGACCTATGTTAAATTTAAACTAAAGGAAGAAGCAAAAATTAAATTATTTTTCATAAATGGGTCATGATCCATAGATTTGAAATCAATGGCATGTATATATATATATATATATTATTTAATTTTTCTTGTGTTCTTGTATGAGGTCTATCTGAAAAGTAATGGGACTGGTGTCACAAACAACTTATTTCAATTCCAAACAACAAACTCCATGTTTTTCCCTTCTAAGTAATCTCCATCATGTCTAATGTATTTTTCCATCCTTCTCGGCTATGCTCCTATGCACTGCTGAGAGGATTCTTCTTGGATACTCCTCAGCTCCATTATTACAGCCCTCTTGATGGCCTCCACACCTTCAAAACAGGTCCCATTGATTGAGCATGGGGAATGGAAAAAGTCACATGGAGCAAGATCAGGTAAATAGGCAGTTTGTTCAAGTATGGCAATGTTCTTCTTGTCCAGGAACTCCTGCATGCACAAGGTGTTCTTAGCAGGTGCATTGTTGTGGTGAAGCAGCCACAATTTATTCTGCCATAAAAGCAGTGCTGATACTTTTTAGACAGACCTTGAATAAAAGAGGGATTACTGCATAAATATCACAGTTACACACACACACACACGCGCATATACACACACACACACACACACACACAGTTTATTTATTTTTACACTGATCCTTTCCAGTTTTCTAATCAGTTTCTTGATGTTAAGATGAGATTCATAGGTGGCATAGTTTTTCTAACCCAAGTACTTTCAATCTTTTCCAAGATCATCTTCGGGGGTAAAAGGGATCTGGAATGAGCCTGGGGAATGGATTGAGCTTGATATCTGCAGTGAACTTGGTCCCTGTAGTGAGACTGGGGCCTGGAATAAGTTTGGGGTCTTGATAATGACTAGACATTTAAAACAAGGATTCTCATTGAGAGTTCCAGCATTCACCATAACTGAAAAAAGTTCTGCTTGGATGAAGATGTAGCTTAAGCTCTGGAATTAGATTTTTACCCTTCTTTAAATCAAAATTTCAAATAGTTTTGTAGACAAGGAAAATCCATGCATATAAATTTGACTTGTTTATGTTGAGTTTATTTTTTTTTTTTTTCACATGTTAATCGAGGCACAGATGTACTGATTGTCCAATTGGACAGACAACGCTCTTAATAATCTGCACATGCCTGCTATGCCCAGACCCCATCGCCACACCAGCTGCTGCCAGGGAAAGGGCACCAAGGTCATTAAGAACAAAGTTACATCTTCAATGTCTGATAAAGCAACAGCACTTTTTCTTTCTTTTCTTCTTTCTTTCTTTCTTTCTTTCTTTCTCTTTAAATACTTTTAATAGTTTGTCTTTCTTTTTTATTCTTTTCTTTCCTTCTTTTCTATTTGTATATCTTCTATTTTATTTTTAAAATACTTTTTAGTATCTTCTTTCTTTTTTAAAATAATTTTTAGTACTTTTATTTTCTTTTTTTCTCTCTTCTTTCTTTTTAAATTCTTTTGAAGACTTTCTTTCATTTTTTGTTTCTCCTTTCTTTCTTTATTGAATACTTTTGAATATTTTTTCATTCATTCTTCCTTTCCTTTTTTAAATACTTTTAATACTTTCTTTTTCTTTCTTTCTTTCTTTCTTTATCAAATACTTTTAATACTTTCTTTTTCTTTCTTTTTCAAATACTTTTAATACTCTTTTTCTTTCTTTCTTAAATACTTTTTAATAATTTCATTCATTCATTCTTTTTTTGTTTCTCTTCTTCCTTTTTTAAATACTTTTTTCTTTCCTTTTTAAATACTATTTAATTCTTTTATTTCTTCCCTTTTATTCTTTCTTTTTTCTACTCTTTACCCTGAAAATCTCGAGTTGCAAAGACAGAAACCGGGTCACCTAAAAGCCAACCAGCCTTATTTAAAAGAATAGATACATTTCTCCTCAGCGAATGATGTTCTTGGAGAGAAAATAGCCACTGCTGGCAGACAGCAATGGCAGTGGCGGCAACTCTCTGATGAAGATGAAAAAATTTCTCAGACATGGTTCTTGAGTGTACATCCACCTACTAATAAGGAATGTGGGGAGGAGACTGCATGAGTAATTTTGGTGGCGCTATTAGGTTAGAATAAACATCCTGCGTATCTTAAAGATTAGGAGGAACCATCAAACCAACAGAGATTCCTTGTTTTCTTTGCTCTGCGATTCATTCCCCACAAGAGAACGGAGAATTTAATTCTAAGAACTTCAAATCATTGCTTCAAGATGGGATTGGTAGTGCCTCCTTAGTTGCAAAGTAAGCTTCTTTTATGTGGCGTCTCCCTTCAGACGTAAGTAATCATTGCTCTCCACAACTTCCAATCCTTTGAAGCAATGTGTATAATGTACAAAAGATTTCTTTTTTATATGCTGTGTCCCTTCAGGATATGGGTGAGCATGGCTCTCCACAACTTCCTGCCTTTGTAGCTGTAAGCAGTGTTTATTAAGCAAGTGAAACGGACTATCACTGAATGTGCAAAAAACTTCTTTCATATGTTTACACTATTACATCATTTGGACTGTTGTTCTCATCTTTATATTCCCCTTTTGATGTTGTCTGCTTCGGACTGCTTCAGGTGGTATACATTGGTATTTTGAACAGAATCCTTTATTTAGTCCACAAGGGGAAGATTGTTCTAATTCTAACATGTGAAAACGACAAGGTTTTAGAGAAAATGGAAACAAAAAAGACACTTACAGGTAACATTGGGAAGAGAGATTAGTGAAATTTCACAGGAACATAATGAAAAAAGAGGGCTTGGAAAATTTGATACTCACAAGACAGATTGAAGGCAAGAGGGACAAAGGAAAGTAATGCATAACATACCTAGTGAGCTTGAGTGGATGGTGGAGAAAGATTTAGGTGAGATAACAAAAAACAAAATTTATTAAGAGCTGCAAAGGACAGGAAATTGTGGAGAGCCATGATTGCCCATGTCCTAAAGGGACAAAGCACCTAGAAAAAGAACTAGATTGGAAGCTAGGTCTCATTATTTTACAGTTCAAATGGCTAGATGTAACTGTAAGTTCTATGCTAACAGTTTCTTCTCACACTTCTTGTTTGTGGAACTCTCTTTTGGCTTCTAGCTTCCCAGTCAACTTTGATCTTCAAAAATTTAAATACAATGTCAATTGTTATTTTCTGTCTTCTTAATTCCTATTCTTTTATTTTTCTCTCTCATTAATAATATTTTTTTAATTTTTTTCTCTAATACTCCCTTGAGTCTTAGTGGCTTTATTGCCGTGCTTGGGGTGAATATGATTAAAAAAAAGCAGCTTGCCTCACAATTTGACAAAGATCAAAAACAAATAGTGGGTTGGATTTAGTTTATACTTTTTCCTCTCACATTTGCATGGAAGAACATTTTGCAAGATAGTAAATCACTGTATTTTTTAAAATGTATTTTTTTATTAGATGAAGCATTGTCAGCCATCTTTAATTAATGTACACCAAAGGGCATTGTCCATTTTTTTTCACTGTTCTTAGTGTATAGAATGTCATTGTTAGTTTTTTGTACTCAGTTCACAGTCCATTGGTCAGTCTCTGTGTTGTCCACACAGTACACAGAGTATTAGTCAGTTTTGGGTGCCTTTTTTAAATCATTTCACCCAAAACAAGGCAATAAGACCTACAAGACACAAGGGGTTTTTGTGTGTGAAATAATATGAAGAAAAGAAAAATATTATTCAAAAAAAGTTTCACAAGTGAGAAGTGTGAAGGAAGAAACTGTTATCATAGAACTTACGGTTATGTCTAAGGAATGTGGTTATGCTGAATATCTATCATGAGAAGAGAGGAAAAGCAACAAGATGCTAGCAACATTTAGCTTGTGGAGAAAGGGATTGTAGAGTGGAAAATTCATTACTTTCAATGCCAAGTGAGGCTGCAAAATGACCTGTTATTGAAACAAATCAATACTAATTAATTTGACATCTATTGACCTTATGAATCTAATCCAATATATAATGTAGTAAACAGGGTGATCTCCTCAAAGATGAAGAATAGACTTGAAGCAACAGAAATATGGTTTTATGGAAAGATGCTGAGGATACCATGGGCTGAATATGTGAGGAACAAGAAAGTTTTAGAGAAAATGGAAACAAAAAGAAAACTTATATTAACATCAGGAAGAGGCAGCTGAAATTTCTGGGGCACATAATGAGGAAGGATGGCTTGGAAAATCTGATACTCACAGGACAGCTTGAAGGAAAGAGGGAGAGAGAGCAAAACAGTGTGTAACATACTTGATGAGCTTGAGTAAATGGACAGTAGAACAGGGTTTGGAAGAAATAGCAAAATGACAAAACTTATGAAGAGCTACAAGGGGCAGGAAGATGTGGAGGACCACAATTGCCTATGTCTTGAAGGGATATAGCACCTAAAGAAGTTTCAAATTATTCTAGAGGCTAGTGTCCATTTTTTTATATTTACATATGCTCTTCTCTGATATTGAGCAATTTTAATATATATATATATATATATATATAGAGAGAGAGAGAGAGAGAGAGAGATATAATATTAAAAATAAAAATAAAAGGCAAGACTAGTGTCAGGCCAATGTTTGGATATTTTTTTCAATACAAATTCAGAAAAAATGAATTTGTAGAGCTGGTAATAAAATGTAAGATTAGGAAAAATCTAGACATAATGCACTACCTGTGGGTTGCAACCTTACAGTCTTGTCAGGACAGTTACTTGTGGATGGTTAATCTATAACACTATTCATGCCCATTAGATATATTCAGGAAAGAAAAATTCATATATATATATATATATATATATTGTGTATTTGGGCAGCAATCCCTCTTTTATTTGATTTTTAGTTTTATTGAAGATGACCGACAAGGCACTGCAATTAAGCTTTTTATTTAATTTTTCTTGCATTCATGCATCCAGCTATTTCAACTGTAAAATGATGAGACCTTGCTGCCAATCTCGTATGAAGTCTAGATTAAAGTTCGTACGAATAATTAGCATGAAAGTATTTATAGAAAAGACCCAGGGAAGCTATGTCATGGCAGTGGGAAAGTGAATGAAGCTGAGATGCCAAGTCAGGACCAATAAAATTGCAGATTCTTCTTTGCATTTTATTAAGAATCTCTAAATACATAGCAGATATACATGCACGGACACACACACACACACACATATATATTTTGTGTATTTGGGCAGCAATCCCACTTTTATACAAGATGACTGACAAAGCACTATGATTAAACTTTTTAATTAATTCTTCTTGAGTTTTCTTTTCTGGATGCATAGAGTGTAAAAATTGTCCAAAAGTTCTGCATATCCCAGTGCTTTTGGCTATGTTTTTAACCATTATCAAAGACGATTTTTACTTTTAACTGAATGTGTGTTTTTTATGCATGTATCTGAAGTTATAGAATGTTTTACTTTTCAAATACAGCCAGCACATTGTGGCCATGTTCATAGTTTATTCTCTTTCATTATTAGTGCTTACATTATTTTTAATCTTTTTTACATGTGGATAAGACCATTATCCTTGTATTTTCTACTAGTATGTTGTGGATGGATAATATATATGTATATATGCATAAAGGAAAAAAGACAATAGGAAAACTAGTTTTAGATGACACATTTCATTCAATGTGGACATTTTCAAGGCAAAAATTAAATGAAAACGTTTACATTGAACAAAACATGTTGGCTAAAACTAGTTTTCCTATTGTCTTCTTTCCTTTATAAATATTGTTTTTTTCTACAGGTTAATTCTGAGAAAATTTAACACACACACACACATGCACATATATATTAGTTTGTTCCTTATTTGCCGTTTTATAATCCTGGTTTTGTGCCAAATTTGACCGACTCCGTCTATGTGTACGTTTATCCAAACAAATATCTTTATTTATATTAATGAAAATATTTGAGGCGTTTCTGCTTCAACAGTTTACTGCTTGTCACGGTCTTGGAATATTGGTTTGTCTATAGATTTTTCTCTGGCTTCATACACACATTTCTTTGCAGACTTGCCACATTATGAGCAGGATTGGTTTCTGAATCTGTGCCAAGTACCCGATCCATTTTGTCTGCTAGTCAGTGATAAAGAACAAGTCTAGCCTGATTTTGTACCATTTGACAAATTTTCTTTTTTCAAAATGGTGCCTAAAATAGTTGGTTGGAATAAGTGTTTGGATTATGAAATGCAAACTTCTGCAGTTGATAGCATCGAACTTTGTTAATTTATTCAAAAGACAAACTGTTCTTTGTAAAAATGTTTGTTTATATGGAGCTTCTGTCCAAGAAATGTGAAACTTATGTTTTTATATATACTACCTAAATCTGTGCTATATAGTTCATGATTCTCCACAGCTTCCTTTTGTTGCTTTTTTATAACCCCTTTATGTTTCTCCAACTCACAAAAACTTTTCAAATAGGTGACTTGTGACTTCCTATGTTTCTCTTGCATTCAATGTGCCGGATTTACATATGGGTTAGTATAGCATGCTGCCTAGGGGCCCCAAGACTAGAGGGACTCCCAAGATATAAGAATAGACGAGATTTATTTGTTTTCAGATTTAATGGAGGCTTCTTTGAACTAATTTGAAACAATTTAGAGTATTTGGGTCCCTCTAGTTGGAGGGGGTCTTTTATGGACCAAACATATGAGCAATGACAAAGTTTTAGAGAAAAT